AAGACACTTATTTCTTGTAAAGAAGAAGGGAGCAAAGAACTGAAGAAGGAATCAGGAGGGTGGGAGGTATGAAGCTAAATTAAACTCAGGAATATGAAGATGTGGCCATTGAAACTATGGCCTCTGGTCCTGTCCAGATTACACACCTGAGAAGGTCTAAACTTGAAAACTTTTCTGGTGATTTCCTGTTGATGTCTTTCTAACCTCTACAATTATGTTTTCATTTCTTTCCTCTTACCTTGGAAAAAATGCCTTTGCTGTAGTTCTAATTGACTCCCTTCTGGCAGTGAAGGAATTGACAAATGACATATAATATATTGCCTTAGCTTTCTGTTGCTCTTGTAGAAGCTAGATTGTTTCTCTCCAAAGCCCACCTGAGTCCTGTCACTGCAGTGGGTGCTGTTTGGCTGAGAGCTCCCCAGTGTCTGCTGTTTACTTGGTAGGTAGGCACTGTGCTTGCCATTCTGACCGCCCGTACCTGAGGCTGCCTCTCCTCCTCTGTTGGGCCTTTCTGTTCCTTCTCTTGGTTTCTCTTTTGGATTGCACATTGCCTCAAATAAAATTGCTAACAACATATGGCCTGTTATGATTCTCTTTTCCCAAACTCTGCCATTTTGTATATTTGTGACACACTGCAGATTTTGTGAAGATTGCTTCATAATATTTGTTTACCATCTGCTGCACTCTATTTGGTATCTTGCTAGGATTTTTTCCCCATTTTAAGTGACATTAACAAAATCCAGCCAGTACATAGACTTTCTGGTTCTACTTTTGCTTCCCTAATGTGCTGGAAAATCATATTACTATGCTCCAGGCAACTAGAGAAGCCTGGAATTCTCATTGTGAACCAGTGTGTCAGATCTTTTGCACCCTTCTCCCCCTTCCTGGTCATATCTGTAATGTGTTTTTGGTCAGATGGCAAAGAACCTCCATGTGTAAGACAAAAAGAGTTCAAATTATTTTTTCTACTTCTGTCTACCTAGTACCATTACTTCCTAGTGTTCTTCACTAACATATTTATACTTTTGAAACTCTTTGTGCCATTTTAGTAAGTTTTTATTATTTATAGTCACAGTTAGTATACTTTTTTTTCCCCCTCACCTGAGGACATTTTTCCATTTTTTTGTTCAGATAGAGTGGGAGGGAGAGAGAGGAAGAGAGAGAGAGAGAGAAACATCTACGTGAAAGGGTCACATCGAGTGGCTGCCACGCGCACAACCCAACCAGGGCTGAGGATAAACTGCAACCGAGGTACACGCCCTTAGCAGGAACCGAACCCGGGTCTCTCTGGACCGCAGGCCAACGCTCTAACCATTGAGCAAAGCCGGCCAGGGCCCAGTTAGTATACTTTTTATAGCTAATCCAGTTCTATAGGCAAATAGCTAGAGTCTTTGCTAGATGGGCTATGTATGTCCAACCTATTATTGAGATAAGTATTTTAAGTTATTGTCATACTAATTGTCTGGTATCTGTTTCTACTTTATTAACCTTTATTAATTTCTCATACAATAAAGTCAACTCATTGTCTTTATTTTTTAAATTTTTTTCCCAGCTTGATTGAGATATAATTGACATACAACATTGTATAAGTTTAAGGTGTACAACATACTGATTAGATACAGTTATATACTGCAAGATGATTGCTACCATAGTATTTACTAACACCTCCATCCCATCACATAATTACCATTTCTTTTTTGTGCTAAGAACATTTAAGATTTACTCTCTTAGTAAGACTGAATTATATAATACATTATTATTAGCTGTAATCACCATGCTATACATTAGATCCCAAGACCTTGTTATACTTGTAACTATTAATCACAATTATTAGAGTGAATCAGAAAGTCTCTCAAAGAGCAATTTGTAAAGAAAGCCAATACATACATAAAATTGGGTCTTCAATTTATTCATAAGAACTATTAATTACTGTGTCATGTAAGCCTGATTTTATCCTCAGACTTTAGTAGAATGTCTCTTTCAACTTCTCAGGACTTTTTCTCTTGGAGTCAAACCCTTTACAGGATAGCAGTCAACACTTTACCACTAGGTTGGCTATTCTGGCTGATTAGCTTCAGTTTTCTGTCCACTTAAAGCAAAATAGCTGTGTAGGGTTTCATAACTGCTTTTATGGAACTGCTAGATAAGAAATTATTCTGGTGGCTGACTCCCCTCACAGTTTTTTTGCTGAAATAATCCCTAAGATATTTCATAGAATTTTAGAATTCTAGAATCTTTTGTTTTAAGTAGACTTAAAGATTCAAAACTGGTTTTGAGAGCTTAGAGAACTCTTTGTTGTTGTTATTCCTGATTTAGTAAGACTGTGATTTAAATGATTTTTTGGAATCCATGTCTTCTTTTTATAGATTATAAAAAGATTTTTCACCTGTTTTACTAAACTCCAATCACTTCCTCATCCCATGTGAGCAGTAACTTTTGAGGTCTTGTGCATATTGAAATTTGTATATAACCAGTCCCTGGATATAAGCTGGCTCTGGTATAGAAATGAGATTTACAAAATGCTACTTTGTTTGGGTTGGAAATATTACCAAGTTCAGGACTTTATCTAGAACAAGTCAGTTAGGTCCACATATAAATGGAGAATTTAATTTGGCTTTAAAACAAAAACGTAAAGTACTTTCATGTGTGGTAATATGCAACATTATATTCCTTTATACTACATCTGATTTTCCCCTTTGTTTCCTGCATTTGTAAGAAAACTTTTTTACTTAACCTTGAAAGTACTAGTTTCTAGAACCTGTGTAGAAACTTCTTATTTCCAAAACTAGAATGGCATTTCTCCTTCAATTTGGCTTTATAGATTTTATAACTTAAAAAAAGAAAGAAAGAAGGAAAAGTGTTAGATTATATATGTAACATTCCTTGGAGTGTGCCACCTTCATTGCTGAAAGTGACCATTGTGTGCCTTTTATACTGAAAACAGGCAACTCTTGGTAGCATAATGCCAATAGTGACTTTAGACAGTTCCTAGCTATGTAGATATTTAGTGTGACTTGATGATTTACATCAAGTTGGGGAGCTCTTTGGAAGTGAACCAGGATCCAGGAACAAATGCTTTGAAGAGAAAATCCAAGCAAGAGCTGTTGGTTTAATCACCGTGCAGGATTGACTCAAGTGCTGGTTTCCATCATGATGTCAGATTGCTATTGGCTACCGAAGAGAAAACAGAAGTAGTATTTTGCCCTGTGAAATAGGCTAATTGGGAAACAACACAAGCTCCTTCCTAGGGTTCCCCGAGCCTGGTCAGTGAACAGGGGGATATCGTCAGAACTATAGCTGGGCAGGAGGGAGGGCTGGTAGGTAAAGATCCTTGTGCTGAACTGAACTCATGCTATATTTTCAGTAAGAATCCCCAGAGCATGTGATGTAAGTGTATTCTCTTCATGATGAGGGATTCATTTGTTTCTCCAGGACTGGGGTCAGTTTCTCTGCATCTGATCACATCAGCAATTAGATACCCAAGATTTACCAAAATAAATAAATAACACCACTGATTGTTCAATAAGCGCACCAGAGCTGAGACATTCAAATGAGAGAGAGCAGTCCCTTCCAAGTTGTCCCCGGGGAGGCTGTGTACTTCTTCCAACAATGCTGCTGTTGTTAAAAATGTTTTTGGCATTTTTCTTTTAACTGTATAGTTTGAGTCTACCACATAGGCTTTTTTCTTGTTTGACAGATCTTTATCTTTAGAAAGACGAAGTAGCTAACTAAACATTTAGAAATAGCCAAAAGTCATTCTGAGTTCTTTTTGGCAGGTAGTGTAGGTGAGTGATCAGGTGGACAATTTCTTTTGGCTTAAAAATGAGATCTGGGCCCAGCTGATGTGGCTCAGTGGTTGAGCATCGACCCATGTACCAAGAGGTCACCAGTTCGATTCCCAGTCAGGGCACATGCCCAGGTTGTAGGCCTGATCCCTCAGTAGGGGCGTGCAGGAAGTGGCCAGTCGATGTTCTCTCTCATCAATGTTTCTATCTCTCCCTCTCCTTTCTTCTCTCTCTAAAAATCAATAAAGAAAACAAAATATTTTTTTAAATGAGATCTATTTTCATGTCCCTCTTTCTAGTTCTTAAAGCAGTTTGTGAAGAGTTTTTTCAAAACTATTTGAATAAGGGAAGCATAGTTGAAATAAATACATTGTTTCTGGATGTGGCTACTTCATTGATACAGTTAATCAAATGTATACATTCTGGTTATGTATTTTATAAAGCCTTATTATCCTCTAGTGTTATGACTATTTCAAAGTACCATGAATCGCCTATGTGAAGTTTACTATGGTCAGAGAGTTCCTATTACAAATGAAACTGTTCAAAAGAGAAAGAAAGCTACTAGATACACTAGGATATGGGGAGAATTGTGCTAAAGTTGCTTTGCAAGTTAACCTTACACTAGGCTCCCATTTTTTCTTCTGTAAAATGGAATAATAATAATAATCAAGTCATACTATTCACATTAAAGGGTCATTGTGAGGCTTTTCAGGAGTTACTTACTGCCCATGAAGCACAAATTATGGTGCCGTGTGTATAATGATGTTAAATAAATGTTAGCCATTTTTATCATGCTATTGTGACATGCTGGATTGCCTGGAAGAGAGGAAGAATGGAGAAATAGAAGGGTAGGGTGCTGTGTAGGAAAGAAAAAAAAGTGCTGGTAGTACAGCAGGACTGGCCAGTCTTCAGTTTTTATAGTTCTCTAAACCAAATCTGTTTTAGTCATACTCCTAAATACATGTCATGAATGCCATGAGCAATATTTTAATTTTCAGCTGTCCCTAATTTTTTAAGTTCTTTATTGAGATTCTGGTTGTATTCTGAACAACAACAAAGCAAAACAGCAAACCTCAACATCCCCCAAAATAGGGTCTTGAGAATTTGGATATCCTTTGTAAAAATCAATTGTATTATGTTTCCAGCTGACGTGATTTTTGTACATTAAAAACATGTAAATCTTAATCACTTACGTTAATGTTGATCTTTAAACAGATGAAGATGAAGATGGTGATCGAATTACTGTGAGAAGTGATGAAGAAATGAAGGCAATGTTGTCATATGTAAGTATATTACAAAAGAGGACCATCTTAAAAATGTTAGTGTAATCAAGGATGCTGTTGCTTGGCAGAGTGAAAATATAAAAGTAAATCACAGTTGCCATAACATTTTCTATATAGTATGTAAGGTTTTCAAAAATTTCCTTATGTGAAAGTTAAGGGCATTCTTTCCAAAAGACTCTTACTGATCGTATCATGAACATTAAGAATAATGCATCTTAATGACTTTTGCATTAGGTATGTGGTGCAGACTAAATGGACTATCAATTTCCTGTATTTTTTATGCAGTACTTAAAGTAACGGCTCATTAAAAATGAACCCCTGGGCTTAAAAAATTTTTCAAAATCTACTTTCAACTGGAGATCTCTTTCACCCTTCCAAACATATTATAGTTACAATGTAGCTGCAGGCTTAATATGGATACACAATTTAAAGATGTGCTCTCAGTTATTTTATGCACCCCCACACCCATCCATCCCAAGATGAACTACTATGGGGTTACTTACTGAATCAAAGTGATTTGAATATATCCTGAAATGACTTTTATTTTGCGTTTTGGATTTCAGTGACAATTTACATTAATGTTTGTCACAGGACTAAAGTAGATAAATAAGAGAAAAGACTACATTTCTAAAACTTTAATACTAAGCTTGAAAAATTCAACTATGATGAAGAGACATAGCTTCTCTGAGCCCCAATTTGTGCTTTACTCTTATATACCAGATGCTTATTTTGTTTTATTTCCTCTCATTTGTTTTATTTTATTTTATCTGAGTTTGTCATGTGTTTACAAAACCTTCTCTAGTGGTCTGGTGGAAAGAGCATTGGACTGGAAGGTCTCTTCTGGTTTCCTGGCCTTGGTCAAATCACTAATCTTTCTGTGCTGTAGTGCCTCATCTGTCAGTTGTGGATAACAATATGTCCTTTCTACAGCACAGGGTCATTGTAATGATCAAATAGGGGAGTAGCTGTGAAAGCCCTTTAAAACCTTAAACGTTCTATACAAATGCAGAGTATTATGGTGGAAATGATAGAATCAGGGTCCTTGCTTTTCAGTGAGACTCTATTCTTAGCTAACAGTTAGGTTGTAGGTTTTTGATAGACTTCAACTTCAACTCAAGGTATTGTTTCATTGTAATGAAAACTGTAAAATATCTGTATGGGTTTCCGCCAATAGTTTTAATTTAGGGTAGGAGGAAAGAGAACAAGAAGAATGGCATGATTAACAGAGCGTTGCATTTAGAGCTGCACAGAGTAGAAAAAGTCAATTTCCCATTGACTTCCCATTAACTTATTTGAGAGTCCTTGTGCTTTGAGAATTTAGAGCAGGGCTCATCAGCACCTTGAAAAGCAAAGTAGGATAGTCTGCTGAACGGTATAGCACTAGAATTGATAGATTTCTAACTCTCCTGAGAATGTGACATGCTTATTTTTAGAAAACACACACATAGCCCTGGCCGGTTTGGCGCAGTGGTTGGAGTGTTGGCCCGCAGACCAGAGAGTCCCAGGTTCAGTTCCTGCTAAGGGAACGTACCTCAGTTGCAGTTTGTCCTCGGTCCCAGTTGGGGTCATGTGAGTGGCAGCCACTTGATGTGTCTCTCTCACATTGATGTTTTTCTCTCTCTCCCTCCTGCTCTATTTGAAGATTAATGCAAAAATCTCCTCGCATGAGGATTTTAAAAAAAAGAAAATACACATAGATGGGTTCCAGTTTTTTCACATGCATCTGTTGCAGAGAGTACATTACTGACATCAGTGTATTTTCATTATGTCTCTGACATACCACACACAAAGATGTGTTTTCAAATATGTACTTTTGGGCCCTGGCCGGTGTGCTAAACGGTTAGAGCATTGGCCCATGAACCAAAGGGTCTTGGGTTCGATTCCTGGTCAAGGGCATGTATCTGGGTAGCAGGTTCGATCCCTGGCCCTGGTTGGGGTTGTGTGGGAGGCAACCAATTGATGGATGTTTCTCTCTCTCTGTTTCTCTCTCTCCCTCTTACCCCACCCTCTTTCACTTCCTCTCCCTCCCTTCCACTCTATCTAAAAATCAGTGGAACAGTATCTTCGGGTGAGGGTTAACAACAACAAAATATATATAGTTTTGGGAAGATGTTACAAATTGTGTCTTTTAAGAATGTTACTGCATCATCATCATCATAATCATTTCTGTTTTTTAGATGCTTAGTCTATATACCAGATGCTTATGGTATTTCATTTTCATTGGTTTTAATAATTACTCTGTGCAATAGATATTATTATTCTTCTGTTTGAGATGAGAAAGCTATGATTAACAGACATGCTGAAGGTCTTAGAGCTAGTATGAATGTGAACATGGAATTTAAGTTCAGTTTCTTCTTATGACCACGTAGCTCAGTGGGTCAGAGTGTCGTTTGGATATGCCAAGGTTGTGGGTTGGATCCCTGGTCAGGGTACATACAAGAATCAACCAATGAATGTATAAAATAAGTGGAACAACAAATACATGTTTCTCTCTCTCCTTCTCTCTTTCTGTCTCTCTCTCTCTCCACTTTTTTCTTTCTCTCTTTTTCTCTAAAATCAATAAATAAAAAATTTCTTTTTAAAGTTCAGTTTCTTCTTATGCCAAAATCCATAATCCTTTACTGTTTTACTGTTTCTCTCTTATCCACCTCCTTGCACATTAGTATTGGGACCTTTCTATGTTATCAGTACTATTAACTTTTAACTGATTTGTGTTTATATAATACCTTAGTTGAGATATCTATAGTATGTATTCCTTATGATTTATGCTTATTTTGTCAAATGCAGTATTAACTTTTGTGTTGTAGGAAAATACTAGAATTATGTTATTGTCTTTAAACTTAAAAGTTCCTGAGAGTTTTTTGAGAGCCACTCTTTAGTCTGAAAAATCAACTAGCTCATTGATCCTCAAATATTTGGATTTCATGAACTAATCAACTTTTTATTTTTAGGTCAGAAGACAGACATTGGCATAGTAATGTTTAATCCCTCTCCCCCAAACCACCTTAGTAATAAACAAATAAAATTATTTATTAACCATTATTTTATTAATAAAGAAAAAAGTAGGAGTTAAAGATTGAAACATTGGGCAGTACATAATCACAAAAGTAAAGAAGATGACCATTAAAGTGAGTAAATTTAGTTTTACTGTAGAAACTCACTACATTATACTTTGTATTAATTTGCAGTGGATGTTGAAAACTTTTTTTATGAATTGGTAGTGATCCATGGACTGATTGGGTCCAGATTTTCTCATTAATTCTTTTTTTTTTATCCTCACCTGAGGACATTTTTCCATTTTTTGTTCAGATAGAATGGGAGGGAGAGAGAGGAAGAGACAGAGAGAGAGAGAGAAACATCGACATGAAAGGGACACATCGAGTGGCTGCCACCTACACGACCCAACCAGGGCCGGGGACAAACTGCAATTAAGGTACGTGCCCTTAGCGGGAACCGAACCTGGGTCTCTCTGGACCGCAGGCCGACGCTCTAACTGCTAAGCCAAACCGGCCAGGGCTAATTAATTCTTTTAACAAATATTTAGAGATAGGAACCCTCCCCATAGCCCTACCCCCCCTCCCCATTTTTTAATTTAACTTAAGGTAGAGCTCTACTTACCTGATTCTGAGTGTTTGAGCAAAGTATTTTTTTTTTTTTTATCACCCGAGGACATTTTTCCATTCTTTGTTCAGGTAGAGTGGGAGGGAGAGAGAGGAACAGAGAGAGAGAGAGAGAAACATCGATGTGAAAGGAACACATCGAGTGGCTGCCACCCGCACGACCCAACCAGAGCCGGGGACAAACTGCAACCGAGGTACGCGCCCTTAGCGGGAACCGAACCCGGGTCTCTCAGGACCACAGGCAGACGCTCTAACCGCTGAGCAAAACCGGCCAGGGCAGTATTTTTTAATTAAAATATCCCTAAGCCCTGGCCCATGTGGCTCAGTTGGTTGGAGTGTTGTCCAGTACACCATAAGATGGTGGGTTTGATTCCCGGTCAAGGCACATACCCAGGTTGTGGGTTCTGTCCCCGGGGGGTTGGGGTACATGCGGGAGGCAACTGATTGATGTTTCTCTCTTACATTGATGTTTCTCTCTCCTCTCTCTCTCTCCCCCCTCCCTCCTTCCCTTTCTCTAAAGATCAGTAAAACATTGTTGTTTTTTTTTTATAAAGAAAATATCCCTAAGAGAGCTAAGTTTTAAGTTATTTAAAACCCAAATGGCCCTGGCCGGTTTGGCTCAGCGGTTAGAGCGTCGGCCTGCGGTCCAGAGAGACCCAGGTTCAGTTCCTGCTAAGGGCACGTACCTCGGTTGCAGTTTGTCCCTGGCCCTGGTTGGTCGTGCGGGTGGCAGCCACTCGATGTGTCCCTTTCACGTCGATGTTTCTCTCTCTCTCTCTCTTTTCCTCTCTCTCCCTCCCACTCTATCTGTACAAAAAAATGGAAAAATGTCCTCGGGTGAGGATAAAAAAATTAAAAAAAAAAAAAACCCAAATGGATGTTCTTTTTCTCTTATGTGTTGCAGTAGTTCCTACTATCACATATCCTTTGTTTATGTAGCGTCAGGCTCTGAATAAACATTTTAACAAAGAGTAGCGGAATCTATTTCTCAGAAAGAGCAAACAAGATTGGTTGGCTATCATTTTGATCTGTCTTGGTTCTCATGGTTGAAATTCCTTTGCGTTCCAGTTTTGCCATAAAGAGAACCATTTAGACCTAATCTTGCAATAGATTTTGGTTGATAGTCCTCAGTTGTCAACCTATTATTAAAAACCTTCATTGGTCTTTATTTTTTAGGTTCAATTTGGCTCTGAAAAATTTTGATTCCAGGGTTTGGTCAGTGACATAAAGAAGATATTCACAGATGACCACATATTTACTGTAAAAATAAACAAACAACAAAAACCCCTTGTTTTTCATGTGGAGTTCAATCAATTTGCAGTCACCTTAGTATTTCTTTAATATGGGCAAAGCAAAACTAGAGATACTTTCACCATAAAT